TAGTGTGTAAGTAGTTTGGCTGCTTGTCCACTATTGGTTCAGATTCTACAAATCCTGTCGTGACACGAGTCAGCGATGACGTTTTACTGCATTTTACGAGTCTCTTTTAGCGTCTTTATACGAATATGGTCGCAATTTTTTCGCCGCGATATACGAATCCGCATTATATGAACCCGCGTTATAGGGGGTTTACTGTACAGTCGACCCCCGTATAACACGAGTTCCTATAGTTCGGATTCTTATATGACGGCGAAAAAATTGCGACGGTATCCGTACAAACATGGCAAAAAACTACTATAATTCGGTAAAACGTCATCGGGCAGCCAAACTACTTTCCGCCGTCCAGCGCTACGCTACGAAGAGTTTAAGCGGGTAAATTGAGTTTACTATCGTCTGTACAGTATTATACATAAATTATATATAAATTAGGTACTGTATATATAATTATATATTAACTTAATTTATTGTAACTTTATTATATATTATATATTATATATATACTTTCCGCCGTCCAGCGCCATGATAGGGAGAGTTTAGGCGAGTAAGTTGAGTTTACTATCATCTGTACAGTATGTAAATTAGGTACCTTAAGTCTAATACAGCACTAATTTTATACATTTCTTGTGAAAGAAACATTTCTCATTCAACGGCCATAAAAATTATTTCTATTAACGATGTCTCAAAGTTCAACGAAGTTTTCACAGAAAAATAACTTATCAGAAATCGCGGCCGCCGTTTGGTACGCTACTCCGCGACGAAAACAAGCTTAAGCAATGGCGACGACGAACGGTGCACACTCGGTAAGTAATCGTACAATTTTCTAAATAAAAAATTGCCAGGACAAATTATGACATTTATATAGAAAATATGTTTCTTCTAGACTATACATACATAGATGAGTCTTTGTCTACTTTCTGTCCTTTTACACGCTGTACGAGGCAATAACAATTCCACCGGCGAAGTCGACCTTTCTATGTAGGCTACCGTTCGCCGTAAAATGTAAAACAGTTCAATGTATAGTCAAGAAGAAATATATTTTCTATATAAATGCCTACAATTTTTTGTTTATAGCATAGTTTATACGGATTATTCCCAAAAAAATATACGTGTTTTGGAAATGTTGAGTCGAATTAGTCTAGGAATCGATTAATTTTATGGAAGAAAACCTTTCAAACAGCCGTAGTCCATAAACTTCANTCCGTTAGGTTTCGAATGTTCACCAGGTGACAAGGAGAGACCAATGGATAGCATCAATCATCCTAATACACAAATATCCCTGCAAAATTTCAGAAATTTTCGACAAAAATCACAGCCGTTATTAAACTCAAAGTTGGTGGACAAAATTGTGTTCCCCCATACACACACACTAACATCCATAAATACAAGAGGAAAAATTCCAATTTTGTTTGCCCTTCTGGACGTTTTAAGGTCACCTCAGTCCAAAAATATAAAAATCTTTGGAGTCAGTTTTTGACAGTGGCGTGCCGTCATTAGAAGCGGTGGAAGTGCCGCTTCCCTTGTATTTTATAAAAAACAAATACATATTAATTTTAATTATATCAAAATAATCGCACAATATTTTATTATAATCGCATTATCTATCTTATTACAAATTTCTATACTACACGTGAAAATAATAATAATAATAAGATTGCTATTGTATATTCGAATATTAGTGGCGGAGTGGAATCTCTGTATTGTCAAATTCCAAAAAGCCAGATTTGCGCACGCGCTTTACAGAGCACCAACCTCACCCGGTTTAGCCGGTGGAAGCCTACGACCTCGGGTTGATGCTACACATATAACACTTCCAATTCTAACCGGGACCGGTTCTGGGCTGTTAGCCGCCCGCCCGCTAGATATTTGGCCGATTGGGTGAATAACGAGTAGATTTGTAACTTAACCCAACCGATAAGAATTTACTGGTATGTTTTTACGATAGTTATCAGCAATTGGTTGACACATGGAAGTTAGCAAGTCTTTTTACCAGAAGAGTATTACAGATGTTTTACATGCCGAGTTATATATACAAAGTATAATTAGAACATACCGTTACAAAGTATAACAATAATGTCAGAACAGCTAATAAAATAACAACAGTTTGCTGTAAAACAACAATAAAGCATAAATGCTAATATGTAATATTATATTAACAATTAAAAATTAAATATAAAAATCAAACCCGTGGCAAAGAAAGTGTCTAGAACAGCAATGTTCCAATTGACATGAAGATTTTCAATCAAAGTCTTTGAAGAATCCTGTATGAGATTGATACATAAGAAAGCAGAGTAACACATGTGAGATTGTCATTGTGAACTTTTCATAAGTCCATGGGTATCCTCAACACCACAAAAGTCCGTGGGTGAGAAGAGCTGCAAAAGTCTGAGAGTGTTCTTAAACACATTTAATATTTACAGTTTAATGTAAAGATTTAAAAAATATGTTAGACAATTTTAAATTTAAAGAGTGTTCGATTGTAGAACAGTAATTTCCTGAGGATGGCCTATTAAAAATAGGCTGAAAGCGTTTGGATATTAAATTAATAATAAGCTCAGCAAGTGTTTGGTGTTTGATTATATTTGTAAGTAAACAGCTAAGGAAGTGAGGATAGCGTATATTTAATTTGACATTATCAAAAAAGAAGCCAAATTCTATTTATCCTTTACTGACTTGTGAGTACTCTACGTATAGTTTTGGACCAAAGAACTATAATCTATTGATGTTCAATAGCGTTTGTATTTACAGAATCAAGGTGAATTACCAGATGATATAAGCTAAATTTAAAAATTAAAGACTTGGAAAAGTTTATTTTACATCTATTGATATTACTATTCTCCAATGCTTTGTGCGAGAGAGTATTTTCCAAAATAATTAAAACCAACATTCGCAGCAAACTCTTAATGGAAACTGTGGAGGCCGAATAATTGTAACTTAGCGCTACATCTGAAAATCCAGGTGGCTATATAAAAACATGTGCAGTCAGTCCGCCATATTCCTTTTTTCTCTCTGTTGGCTACACTGCTCGCGACAAGTGAACGTTCTGTAACGACGCATGCTTGTAACCGATCGAGCTTTACTCAATAAGTGTAAAACAAAGTCTAGTACATGATTGTAAATAAATTTACATGGTGAGATATAAAGCTTCGATTATTTTATATAATCAACTAACACTCAAGCGGTGCTTCAATCACCACAGAAACTATTAATGGTTTTCTATTAGCTACTGAAAGTACCAATGATGAACGTTTTTCGTTAAATGCTTGTCAAAAATGCTAAATGCTTTTTGTCTGCATAGTTCTGTTAGCTTAAAGGTGGAGAGATTCAAGCTGTTTCATTTGTCAAAATCAGTATAATCTAGACCAGGGACGTCCAACCCGCGACCCGCTGGCCGTACTGCGTCCCACTTAATATTTTTATGCGGCCAACAGTACACGAAAATTTCTAGGTATATTCTCATTTATTTTGGTAAAGTATGTCGTAAAATTATTCTCGTTTCACTGGATACACTTTGATGTCATAATGACGTAATTAGTGTTAGAAAACTGTTTTATCTGTGAGGACCCAAACAGGGGTCGACTGAAAGGTCCGAATGAGGGGTGTCGATCGTATATTTAAAGTGCTCCTTTTCAGACTCGAATGGAAAGAATTAGATGTCTCAATCGAACAATGGAAATTTTTGTGTAAATTAGTTAAACAATGGAAAGGAATAAAGTCGAGAAAAAGCGACGAGAGAGGAATCAGATTCAGTCGCAACGTTGACCTCTCCCGCGCCCTCCGTTAGGTTTCGAATGTTCACCAGGTGACAAGGAGAGACCAATGGAGAGGCGACTAAGGTTAAAAAACTCTATAAAACCAGCGTTTCAAGGACATAAAATGTTCTTTGTTCTTGGATGCGTAGTGTTTCTTCTCCTGGACATGCGTGTTTCAGATCTCTGGAAAGCAAAATAATATTTCGGAACTTGTGGAAACATCGTTCTCCGGGTGCCTGCTAGCGATCTACAGATTCGCTAGTTCGTCCAACGAGAAGTCGCCGAAAACCGTGATAAACGCCCCGTGGTCTACGGAGTATTTCACCGTCAGTGTCCATCCACAAGTAACGAAGACAGAACTTTTCGAACTTTATTCGGACTTTATCCGCGCGTTTTGTGATGCTACCTCGTCAATCAAGGAATTTGTAAGGAAATTTCTATGTTTAATAAACGGTTTATGATGGAAACCTGTCTCAGTGAATCCTAACACTCCCGCACGACGGAATTGACCGCTCGGTTGTCGAAAAACTCCTCACCCCAATCGGCTAACCTCACATATCTAGAGAACTGTTATACATTTGGGGTAGTACAGTACATACCGTTATGAACAATTCTTTTCGTGCATTAAAAACATGAAAACTGCTGAAAGAAATAGGTTGAGTGATTCCCATTTAACTAACATTCTTAGATTAAGACTAGTACCATAAAAGCAGATATCGACAATATTATAAAAGGAAGGCAATGTCAAAAATCACATTGAATTTATTTTTATTTTGTGTGAGTATAATTTCCTTTTTTCACTGTCAATAATACAGTTTTTTTGTAATTATATATATTTGTTATTAAAATTTGATATTTACATTTTGAACTTTTTTAAAAACATATATTTATATAAAGTACATTTGTGACCCTCTGAATATACCTAAATTTCTAATTTGGCCCATTAGGAAAAAAGGTTGGACAACCCTGATATAGACCTTGTCTTCTTGATTTATTTCTTGTTTCTCTGTAAATAACTTTGATTTGAATAAAAGTCATTTTGTAATTATACTAATATTTTTGATGTACTGTATTGCAGTTAATATGTTAATTTAATTTACCTCAGGGCGTTATTTTTCATTGTTTTTAAAATTGTTTATTTTTTTGGTTAATGACGTAAAACCTTGGTTTATTTTAGTCTGTTGACTCTGTATCTGATTTATTTTAAATATGTAGAGATGGCAACACTGACTGTACTAGCCATACCAATTTTGGCGGGAGTAAACGCATGTTTAGTTTGATAGGATAATCTAAATTCAATTATTATTATACGTCAATTTTTATGCAAAAAATGCATTTGTATGTACATAAATGAATGAATTGGTTATTAATAAAATTAAAGAAATGAATTTTAGATCCATGAAGTAAACAATATCATTAAGGTGGGTGTTACTCGAATTCTCACTGTATAACACACGTTATTAAGTTGAGATAATGCATAATATTTAAATATTAAAATAATGAAGCAAACCTAAAGAGGACTTTACATTATGCCCTTTGATCTGTTTATTCTAAGTGAAACAAAACATATTAAATGGTTAACCTATTATTACCAAAGTTAGTTTTGGTACTGTGTTGATAGATACATACACAGATAAATGACCTAAAAGTAGTATCTACCATAGAATGAACCAATATATCAAAGCTTGATTGTATAATTGTAAACTATGAGAAAAAAAACTGATAAACACTAAAATATTATGCCCTTAAATAATAGCTTTATTAACTTCGGGGCCGTGTGTTAGATTTTCTCAGTATGATGAAAGTCTTCGAAATGCTGCCTGTGCCACTCCCTTACAGTGCTGTCTTATGTGTCCGCCTTCGTATTGTAGCATGGCATGGCCCTTATTAACTTTAACTTTCTTTTTAAATTAATAACACACAACTAGCCCAAATTTTTCAGGTTGAAAAATAATTCATGATATGCAAGAGGAAAAGTTTTGATTAACAATGTATGCTGTGGTTATATTTAAAAACTTTATTTTAAATAGATTGTTGTTAATCACTTTTATACACTTTAAAATTGTAGAAATTGTTTTATAAATTTATTCTGAAAATTTTGTTTAAAAAAATAGTAGAAATAGAGAAAATATTTTTATTTCACAATTTCTACTTACATAAAATGAATATTATAATTAACAGTCGATTATGGATTTCTTCTCTTAAGAGAGCATTCTCCCATGTTCCCAATTTTCTCCCATATTTATGTTTTACATCAGTTAATAGAGCACCAGATAGTAGAGCAGTTTGTTTAAATGAGTTCTGTGTTAGTGGCATTTTTAGAGCAGCAGTCTGCATAAGGGAGTACTATTCTTGGGAAGATTTATAAGGATCTAGCTTTAATCTTATGGTACCCAATATCAATACCCAAGGCACATAGTATACAGTTACTCAAAGACATCAGACATTTAAATACAATATAAAAATTTTTAATTTATGAATATATTGATAAAAATTGTTTATTATTTGGTTTGCAAGAACAAGAAAAATTATATATTTATTTCGGTTTAGGATTCAAATTTAGAAAAAAAAGTACACACACAAAATCTAAAAAAAACAAGTAATTAATCAGACAAAATTTTATTACAAATTAAAAATTAATTATACACAGCAATAAACATTTTAATAACTTATTAGGTTGCCTTTTCTTTCCAGCACAGCTTCCAATCTGTTTGTCATTGATTTTACTAGAATTTCTGTGATGTGTATCTCAATTTTTGACCATTTATGTTTGAGAGCACTTTTTGGTTCATTTCACTTATTGTTATATTTCCAAACCCTTATCTAATCCATTCCATAAATATTTAAGTATGTTTAAGACTGCTGGTGTGTCAATCATTTTTGGGCAGCCACCGTCAAACATTATAAGACTTGTATTTCATATCACAAATGTAGCAATAAACATTTCAATCCTGATATGGTTCCACAGAAAAACTAGCTATTCTTAAATACCTAGTTTTTCTGTGGAACCATATCAGGTCTCTAGATTTTGTTCACAAGCAAGAACGCTTGCATTCCATCTATGCCACCTATTGTATTTCTGGGAAGAAATGAAAGTAATATGACTATTAAATATACTGTATTTACTAATTATTTTAAAGAACATTAAAATTGATGATATACAGGGACAGATCCAAGGGAGCTACAGTGGCTTAATTTCTCCCTATTGACACAAGAAAAAGTGAAAATGTATTTGAACTTCAAAATCTTATTTTTCAAAACATGATAGCTTGATAAACTATATTTGCCATTAACAATACAAGTATTATGCACATGTTAATAAAAGGCCTTATTAATTCACAAAATATTAATTTTTGAGTTAATCCTACTTTGGGTTCTGGATCTGCTACTGACAATATAAGAATAGAAACTAACTAGATGCCTATGCCTAGCTTTGCTGGGGCTTTTGAGGGGATGGGGATTGGTGAGTTGGGAAAGGATGATAAAAACAATTGTCTTAGTAACTGAAATGTACTATATATTTATTGTCCTCAGTATTTATAATAATGAAACTGTAAACATAAAAAAACTGCAAGGGCTAAAGTTAAGGGGAATGAGACTCAAACATTTTTGTAGACATAATATTGTACTTTTGCCATGTCTGAACCATTTCATTTTTCTGAAATCTCTTCAATGGCATCATCCACAGAGTAAGAGCTTTAACTTGATACCTGAACCATAGTTTTAGTCCCAGCCATTTACTCAAACTACATCAAACTGAAAATGCCTTTCAATTAATATATAGATATGTAAGTACAGTAAAATTATGTAATAATGAATTTTAACATTTCTAGTGTTTTATAAGTTACATAGAGCTCATAAGACCTGAAAAAATAAAGAGAATTGAATACCATTAATAAACCACTGGTGATCTTGTTTCTTCTGAAAAGGAAGCTTGATGTAACAATTTTGAGAATGCTCTCTTAAGTAGACTTGACTGTAGTAATATAAAAATGTTTGGATTTTTAAAAAATTTTTATTAATCATTAAATAAATATTTTATTGTAGAAAGTATAATTATTGCAGATACTTCCATGAATGATTTTGTGATTTTGAACCAAATATAAATGATTAAAAATTTGAATTGAAAGAAGATTCAGATAAATTTTTCTTAATTATTTCAGTTAGATTAATTTTTATTAATATGTCTTAATTGTATTTTTTGATTAGTAACAAATACATATTTGTTATTAATCCAGAGATAAAAACCTCATTCAACTTAGAGCTGTTTTGTTTCTAGTACTGTTTATTAAACAGTACTGGAAACAAAAAAACACTCTAAGTTGAATGAGATTTTTATTAGTATTACTGTCCAGTCTCTTTTGTTGTTTATTTTTCTAGAGTTAATCCAAAGATACAATTAAAACAACTCTAGGTATAAGTATTAATTAAATTAATAAAAATTATGTATGTATAAATCCAGAAATGTCTCATATGTCTACAAAAACATTTTTATGAAAAAAAAACAAGTTTGGTGAAAGTATTCAGATTATTCAAGATAAGAAAGCCAGCCAATTTATAATAAGAGAATTAAGCAGTTTAATAGAATAATAAGTTAATATGCCAATTGAATTGAATAACAGAACTAGATGCTAATATTTTTATCGTTAAAAATTTATTTTAGAAAATGAAGTAGAAAGATTAATTAATTCTTGCTACAGTATAATATAGATGCAATTATTCTTTTTAATGTTTTTTTCTTAATATATTATCATATTTTTCCATTTTTAAATTATGGAATCATAGATATTTTAATTTAAAATCAGATTTATTTTTTTTGTGAATATTTTCATTTAGTATCATGCACTTTTATGATTTTGATGTATTAAGTGATTTATAGATTAAGTGAAATGATGGATGAAGATAATTGAATGAGTCTAATGAAATTTTTATTTGACAATCATAAATATAATAAAACACATTTCTGTAACAGCAGAACTTGCTTTTCATCAACAATTTCTCTATTCAGATATAAAAATGTGATTTTAGTACTGAACATCAAAAAAAATTCTTGATTATTTCATGTCATCATCATTAATTTTTGAATTTCCTTGATCATACACCTCAATCTTCATATTTTTACACATTTTCTTAAACTAACAATGCTTCTTGTTTGTTATGAAAGAGACCTATAATATATTTTAAAAAAAGTAATCTTTACTCTTGAAATAAAATTCTTAAAGTGGGTTCCAGGATTGTTGATTCATTATAACCAGTCCTTATATACTTTATACTATTTTTATCTATATGTTTTTATATTTCAAAAAGTTATTTTTGAGAAATATAATATACTCTCAATTGCCTAAGATTTTTTATTTTAAGATATTTTGGGATCTCTGAAAATAATCATAGATCTCTGAAACACTAAAAGTCCATATTATTTGTAGTAATTATGGAAAGCAGTATACTGATACTTGAAAACACATAATCTGAAGTACATAATTCCTCAATAAAGTATAGTGTAACAAAAGAAAAAAGAAAAGAATACTCATAAATAAATTACAGTTAGATTTATAACACATACTTAATAATAACTTATTAATAATAATTTATTTTGTATATAGATAATTTATTATTTTTGTTCATCTTTGGGATTTGGTGATTAATTTTCCAATAGCATTTTGTATTTTCCTAGCAGTAATGCAATTAAATGCAAAATTTTGTTGACTATTATACTAGCAAAGTATTGGCATTGTCATTTTATAATTGATTAATTTTATTTTATTTTCATTTCTTCTGGTTGTTTTGTTACGAATGATGAAAATATCTTTTCTTCCATATATTGAAACCTTTTTTATGTGAATCACTGCAATTACCCATTAATATTTTCTTTGTAAACATTCTTTAAATCTTCTAGATTATTAAATCTGTTATCTAAGAAATCTTCTATGTTAGAGAATCATTTGAAGTCATATTTTTAACACTAAGAAGAATTTTTCTCCACAATTTAACAAGTGAAGCTGATATTCAATTATGCTATGGAAACAGCATATATAGCATCAATATTGTATCCAATATTCAATCAAACAGCATCCAATATTTTTTTAAAGTGTTCTGAAATTTTCATCTTTATTAGCAAAAATCTTTTAGATCAGTTTAATAATATTGTTTTAGTGATGTACTGTGATCTTGGCTGTATTAAAGTGACATTTGGAGACAAAAATTTTATGACATAATCTATCAACTGGTTTTAATAATTTTTTTCTTGGATATGATGGAACATTGTTTATGAGTAATGCTGCTTTTAGTGGTAGTCTTTTGTTATTCAGAAATAAACTTTTGCACACCACTTGTTTTTGAACCAGTCAAAAATTCTCCATCATCCATGTTTTCTCTTCTTTGGCAGTAATAATGCACTAAGATGATTTCCCTAAGTGTGCACTGCAGTGCCATGAGGGCTTCGAAGCTAATGGAACTTTCTCTCTAGACTAGATAGGCTAGTTCCTGTAGCTGGTAGAACTTTCTAGAAGACTTATATAGCATACTATCAGACATTGTCGAAGTTTTGTAAAAGTTCTAAGTAGGTGGCGTGGCTGGTATAAAAAATATGGCACCACTTCAGCAAACCAGTTCAGTTCTGAAATTGTTAACAATCTGAGAAGAAAAGTAAATGGTTTTAATACGCCTGCTACCAGAGAAGTGCCTGCTTTGTTTCAGTGTGTCGCTTTGTCTTTTTGTACAGTTGTAGGAAAATGGAAAGATTTTTATTAAATAAGCAAGTCAACAGTACAAGTGAGAGTGATCAAGCATCGACAAATGGTAAGGTAGCAAAGAAATGGAAATATCGTAAATATGATGATAACTACTGTATTTGAATTTTGGCTTTACTTCAGTAGAAGTAAACGACAAAGAGAGACCACAGTGCTTGCTCTGTTTAAAAGTACTAGCACTCGAGTGTATGCTCCCAAGTAAGTTAAAGCAAGATCTCGAGACCAATCACACTAATATGGTTGAAAAATCTTGCGAATTCTTTAGTAGGAGGTTGCAAGATTTACAAAAGGAAAAAGGTATGTTTACTAAACAAGCCGCAGTACCAAGCAACATACTTCTAGCATCTTTTAAGGTTGCATACAGAGTGGCGAAGTGCAAAAAACCTCATACCATTGCAGAAGAGCTTATTATACCAACTGCTCTTGACATGGTTAAGATTATGCTGGGAGAATCGGCAGAAAAATTAATTTCAATGGTACCTTTGTCAAACAACACTATTAGTTGAAGAATCCATCATATAGCTCTAGATCTCAATGACTAATTAATTAATTAATAGAGAAAATGAAAGGCAGGGAATTTGATCTGCAACTTGATGAGGCTACCGACAGTAACAAAGAAGCACACCTTATTTGTTATGTATGCTTCTGGACGATAATATTATCATTAAAAATTTCCTGTTCTGCAAAAGCATCATTGGAAGTGCAAAGACTCAAGACTTATTTGAGATACTTGACAAGTTTATAACCAAAAATGATTTGGATTGGGAAAAGTGCATTGGTATATGTACTGAAGGAGCTTGATCAATGTCTTGTCGCTATGGAGGATTGCAGGCACTTATTCTCACCAAAACACTGCATGCTATGTGGACCAACTGCATCATCCATAGGGAAGCACTTGCATCAAAGTTGATGACTCTCAATTGAATTTGGCATTAGAACGTGTTGTAGACATAGTAAACTGCATAAAAACTGGCCACTGAAAGCCAGATTTTTCAAAAAGCTATGCATGGACATGGGAGCTGAACAGATGTCACTGCTATACTACTGCAGTTTACGATGGCAACGTCTTATCCCGTGCATTCGAGCTACATCAAGAAATTCACACTTTTTTACAAGAGGAAGGTCATGAAAACTCCAGGTGCTTTGCTGAACTCGCCTTTTTGCTGAAACTAGCATATTTGTGCAATATATTTGACAAGCTGAATGCCTTCAATCTGTCTCTGCAAGGCAATAACATGCACATTTTGAAACTTTTGGAGAAGGTTGCAGCATTTAGCAAAAAGCTACAGTTGTGGATAAGGAAAATCAATGAGGATGGTAGTCAACATTGTTTTCCTGAATTTCACAAATGCATGGCCTGTAAGAAAGTTGTTGTTTCACAAGACTTATTGTCCCTTTTCAAGGAACACCTCTCAAAGCTTAGTGACTGCTTTGCAAAATACTTTGAGGAAGACAAGGTCGAGAAATTTGGATCCAAGATCCTTTCTTTGCTCAAGCACCACCAGAATTCACTTTGCAGTAAGAAGAGAGTCTAATTGAACTCTCTTGCGACAACAGCCTGAAAATAAAATTTGCTTCTTTTGATTTAGTGGAGTTTTGCATATCAATCAAAATGAATATCCAACTCTAAGTTCAAAAGCTGTAAGGATCCTCATTCCCTTTGTGACAATGTATTATGCAAAGCCAGATTTTTAGCTGTAGCTGTAATAAAAAGCAAATATTGTTCAAAAATCGATATGGAATGAGAAATGAAAGTGGCAGTGTCAAACCTTATTCTGAGTTTTGAAAAAATGTGTGGTGATCACCACATTAACTTACTTCTTGTTAAAGGTTTTCACCATTTATTTCATATTTTTTGTATTTTCATGTTTTAGTTTGATGGTTCTTGTGATTCAATTTTAATAAATGTGAGCTTCACATTGTGAAGTTTATCTTAAGAGTTGTTTTCATTTCTGTACCTGGTTTATGTCATTGTACACATATTTTGACAAGGGTGCCAGGACAAAATACTAAACCTGTAGGTGCGCTAGTACTGCACTAGGATATTTTTTACAGAGTTAAATGATTTAGCTATAGGAAAATCTTAGAATTTTATTTTTATGATTGCCAGAAGCATTTTTATGCCACATTACTGTCAAACATTACTTCAGATGAAATAACTTGGAGCAGATATTTCATTCATGGGAGCAAGCAGTGGCATGCCGTGACATTTGACGATAGGGAAGCTGTGTTTCTGTAAGAAGCCGACTTCCAGGGACAATCAGTTAATAGGGTGTCACTAATGGATCTAGACTCTCTAGGGTCCATTCATATTTATTTGTTCAATAAGCCAGTAAAAACTGTACACTTCTTTAAATGTATTTTTAATAGATTCTTTGATGTACTTAATAAATAAACAAGTTCAATATAATTATCTCTGTTATTAGATTCAATAGATTCCCTACTACCTCTAAACGCCAATTCTTGCTTTGATAAAAACATATAACATCTATTAATTTAGATATAATATATCTGTTAGCCATAACTATCTCGTTATAATTTTTAATATTTATTTTATATTATTACTAATGTCAAATTTTATTCTGCTTTGATTTCCAAATTGCTTCAATTTTACGAAAGAATCGATGTGACATTTACGATTTTCGTGTCTTTTGCCAGCTTTACTCAAATTATTTAAATCATCAAAGCCATTGTTATTCCACACACTAATTTTATTTGAAAATAGTAGGCAAGACCAACAAAACAATTTTTGCATTTTTATGCATCTACAAAGCCATTTTATGTCTTCATAAATTTATCGTGAAAATGTCAAACAAATTTTTTGTTGAAGTATTTATATTTAATTTAGGCATTGGTCTTTCTCTTTTAATAATGTTTTCTTTTTCATTATATGGTCTTGAGCCAAAACTTTTTAAAATAAATTGTTAATATTGCAATTACATTCTGAATTGCCAGCCATGATATAAGGGCTAAAATTAAAAATAAAATTATAAAAACTTACTTGTGTGGTGGATATTGTGGAAAATCGTAAGACTTAGAGGTCTTGCTAATTGTAAGTGTAGGTGAATTACCACGTGGGAAAGGATGCCAAGAAACAGTTTTTTGTTCTTTCATAAGTTTATATATATATATTCGTACAATTACACTAAGGTCCACTGGATACAATGGTATACACATAAAATGTTCTCACCGTTACAATATCATAGTTCTAGGTGTTTCACTCCTTGTAATCCAAATCCGCTTCGGGAANTTGTAAATTTTAAACGTTTCTCACCATAGCTGTAAAAATCTAAATACAGTATGTTAAACTTAATAGATTGTCTGTCATTTGTTTTCTAACTAATTCGTTTTTGATCCAGGGTCCACAAAAATTTCCAAAATTTACCGCTTTTCAGTCATTCTCATTGAACTGGAAAAATTTCTATCTTTATTACATCTAATATTAAGAAGAAATCGGTCCCCACTGTACTCGGCTAGAGATTGGTTCAGTTAAGCTTTTATGTAAAATTCCGACTCTTTCAGCAGTGTTTTATTTATGTCCCTAATTCCCTAATCTCTTAATTATTTAGTAGAAATAAGTTGAAACAAGATGGGAGAGCAGAAAAAATTTATCAAATTTTTTTAATGGATTTTTTAAACTTGTCAACTATACAGAACTATCATAAAAATATACCAGTAAATTCCTATTGGTTGGGTTAAGTTATAAATCTATTAAGTTATAAATAGTATAAGTTATAGTGTAAGTAATAGTATAAGTTATAAATCTATTAAGTTGCAATTCACATAATGGGGCAAGGGTGGCCAAATATCTAGAAGGTAGGCAGCTAACAGCCCAGAACTGGTCCTGGATAGAATCATTGGAAGGATTGTGTGTATAGCTTCCATCATGAGGTTGGTGCTCTGTAATGCGCATGCGCAAATGCCTATAATCTGGCTGTTTTACACCATTCAAATATTTTCGTCATGGAAACTGTCCCATATTTGACAAAACGACATTTCCATTGGGAATATCCATATATGAATTTATATTCGAATATACAATAGCAACCTTATCGTTTTTTTCTCACATGTAGTATAGAAATTTGTAATAAGATACATTCAAATATAAATACATATTGTACGATTATTTTCATATTTTAGAAAATACAAGGGAAGTGGCACTTCCACCGCTTTCAAGGGCAGCAAGCCACTGGGAGCAAGTGTCTTACAGGTAAACCTTTTCAACAATAACTTAGTTCAGTCTTCTGCATTATAAATTTGATCAGGCTTGAAATTCTGGAGAAATAAATGCATATCAATAAATTATTTTTCATATTTGATATAAATCAAAAAATTGTCTAACACAGCAAGTAATAAAGAAACAAAGGCATAATTACAGTATAATTTACATCAATTGAAAGTGTATGAGCTAATGAGTATAATCAAAAGTAAAATCTGATTTTTTCAAAGGAAAAATGTTAGGAAAGTTATTTGCAGTTTGAAAGTAAGATTTATGATTTCCATTTTGATTACTTTTTCATTCACTTATAAGAACAAATGTCTAATTAGTATGTTTTAAAGTGCATCATGTTAATTAAACAATGAAAATGCCTTTGTTATCAAGATGGTGCAGTTTTGATTCTGATCAAGGAATTTAATAGTTATTGCAAACTATAGAAAATTTTTTTAAACTTTCATAATTTTTTCTCCTTTAAGAATATCAGTCTTTTTATTTTTGATTGATACTCATTATCTCATGCACTTTTAATTGATGTAAATTATACTGTAATTATGCCTTTGTTTCTTTGTTACTTGCTATGTTAGACAATGTATTGATTTATATCAAATATGAAGAATAATTCATTGATATAAATAAGGTAAAGTTAAATAAAATTTGTAATGAATTTATAAACTGTATAAAAAATAAATTTTTTTAAATCAACTGAAAATTTATAATAGAAATATAAGTAATATAGACTTACAAGTATCATTCACTGATTTTTTTTTCATTGCTATAGCTAGAAACTATCTAAATCAGACCCTAAACAATATCCATTTTGATAAACTTAAATAGCAAATACACATACATAATTTAAGGTAAAATGAACATGGTTAAATGTCCTAAATAATAAATTAAAATGTGTAAACAAGAAATAAAATGAAAATTGTACTTACCACTCCTCCCTAACTGTATGTTAGGGAAGAGTGGTAATGCAAGGTCATGCAGCTGCTTCGCTTTCTCACAGATAATCCTCTTAGAGATGATACCAGCCAACTGCTTCTCATTTATGCACACTAGGGAGAGTTTTTCCATCTCAATAACATGTAGTTTGCTAGAGATGAGTTTTCACATCTTTAGTGAAATTTTCTGCTTTTATTGCTCCTTTGTTCTTAAGGATGGTGCACATTGCTGACTTCAGCATCTTAAACAAGACTGCCAGATTTGCCACACATGTATTGCTTTCATGCTTTGTGATAAGTTCCTTTTTCATTCAATTGTTTCTTAGGCTCTATTGCTTTTACATGCTTCTACATTGGAAGGGATTATATATATAACCAAACATGCTAAAAATAAAGTGAAAAGGGCACAAAACACACAAGTGAAATGCAGAAAATACTTTCACTATAAAAGAGAGATGACTTGGGTGCACAACAGATGGTTTTTTATAGTGAGTGCATTTATTCACTGTTCATGCAGTTTGAAGGTAGAAGCATCATTTGAACTCCAAATTGAATTTCTCTCAAATTTGGCATTCAAACTCTGGAATGTTTTATTTATAAGGTACCACTGTAATTCCTTTGTTATCTAATAATAATCAATACCAGAATTTAGTATATTAAAATTTTTAGACTTCTGGAAATCTATGAGATTATCAGGAAAAATAAAATGAAATAATGAAATGAAAATCACAAAATAACATAATATAAAAATTAAATCAAAAAGGTCCTTCTCACTAGTTTCAATAGTTTATAGCAGTGTTTTTCAACCTGTGGGTCGCGACCCCCAAAAGGGTCCCAAAGCCTTACACGGGGGGTCGCGGGTGAAAGAAAAAGACAAGTGTTTGTAGGTCCTACACTACAATAAAAAAACTACAATTTCAGTGAGAAGGCTGTGCCTGTTTATTTTACAGTACAATTGGTTTTTTGATCGATATTTAAATCTCAACAGAAAGAAAATTAAATACGTAGTTTTTAAAATCACTGACATAGTTTTAATATGGCCGTGGGGGGTCGCCAGAATTTTTTAACTTGTAAAGGGGTCGTGTATTCAAGAAGGTTGAAAAACACTGGTCTGGACTATCACTGGCATTCATTTCACATGTGTAACAAAATCAAGATGACATAAGCTTAATCATTCCATAATTTTGTGTCTTATTTTCAGTAACAATAATCAATATCAAAACTTCCTTCCACGAATCTAAAAATTTAATTTATTATTTAGAATCTGATGATGGGGAATTAACACTTTATTGTCATAATCTACAGATAAACTGAAACATTATGACAATAGTGTTAATTCCCCATCATCAGATTCTAAATAATAAATTAAATTTTTAGATTCGTGGAAGAAAGTTTTGATATTGATTATTGTTACTGAAAATAAGTCACAAAATTATGGAATGATTAAGCTTATGTCATCTTGACTTTGTTACACATGTGAAATGAATGCCAGTGATAGTCCAGACCAGTGTTTTTCAACCTTCTTGAATACGCAACCCCTTTACAAGTTAAAAAATTCTGGCGACCCCCCCACGGCCATATTAAAACTATGTCAGTGATTTTAAAAACTACGTATTTAATTTTCTTTCTGTTGAGATTTAAATATCGATCAAAAAACCAATTGTACTGTAAAATAAACAGGCACAGCCTTCTCACTGAAATTGTAGTTTTTTTTATTGTAGTGTAGGACCTACAAACACTTGTCTTTTTCTTTCACCTGCGACCCCCCCATGTACAGCTTTGTGACCCCCTGGGGGTTGCGACCCACAGGTTGAAAAACACTGGTCCAGACCAATCATCTGTTATGATTACCAAAGCCTGAAGAGATTGGACTAGATCAGGAGTGGCCAACAGTTTTTGCCCCTGGGCCGAATTGGAAAGAAAACTTTTTCCATGGGCCGAACCAGAGGCTGCCTTAGGAAGATTTTGAGGTGGTGTGAGATCTTATTGTGGTGTCACCCTGTAGAGAGTGAACTGTAGATAGAGATTACAGATACATTTTTCACATTATCATGCATTATCAACATTCTATGCTATACTTACGAGATTTATAATGGAGGGTTAACTCTAAACGCACAGTGAGTTTTTGATTTTTTTTTTTAGTTGTCAGAATCTTTCAACAAACTACTCAGACTTCAGTAGCTAATATTGAAAGATTGATCGCGGGCCACATATATTCATTAGATGGGCCGGATCTGGCCTGCGGGCCATATGTTGGCCATGCCTGGACTAGATGGTGATGCTAATTGTTATATTTGTGGTTGTTCGGAATTTGTAGGTCCGCGAGTAACCGTTACAAATAACAACACAGAGACAAAATTGCACACGATGAATATTCTTTTAATCCTCTCCAAATGCGGTTCTTTTCTTACACAAATCCCAACTCAACAGATTTTCAATTCAATATATACACAGGGAAGTGGGTTGCCTCCTATTACTTTACAGGTAGATAACACGTGTGCGTAACACAGATATAAAAATCTCTAATGACTAACTTAAAACTAATCTTACATCTTTCTTAAAACTAATAAGGAAAGGAAATGGATAGACTTAGGAAAGTGAGGGAAAGATAGGAAGGCAAATAGAAACTAGCAGTTTGATGTCTAGGTTCTCCTACTCTCCTATGGATCCTCGTACCTCTTTCTTTCCCTGGTCTTGACAGGTTCCCTCTCACGGCTGCAATCTCCTCTCTTTCACTCTCTCTCAAGTCTGGAGTACTGCGTACAATGTCTGTTCCCTCCGAGGTCCAGCCATAAAGTGACTACCACTCGTCTCTCACATTGCCTTGGGCTCTTACCTCTTTTATCTATCTCCCCAAATTCGGGGAAGTCTTAATCTCTTCCTCCTTTGTTCAACTCTTGGTTCTTAGAAAGGGTAATCCTCCCCCTCAAGCAGTAACGGTTTATGTAGAAATCACTTTGAAACAATTGAAAGGTAGTAAGAAAGTAGAAACGAAAGAAGAAAATAGAAAAGAAGCAAAGAACTTACGAACTATATAAAAACTATTGATAAAATATGGCTGACAGCCATATATTTTTGATAGCTTTGTTTATAGCTATATTTTAATTTTTGAATATTTTATGTAAATAAAAATTTGTTTTTGTTTTATTAATATACTTCCTCATTATTACCAAGGTTGAGGCCAAAGTTTTAAATGCGAAAACGTGTACGTTGGATGTCCAGTGCGCTTTCCTGTAAGCCTAGAAGTTTGACAATGGTGTTTGGATAGTCAGTAGAATCATGTTCGACATTCCCAATCACCATTGCCAAACTTCTAGGCTTACAGGAAAGTGGCGCTGAACATCCGACCTACACGTTTTCACGTTTAAATCTTTGGCCTCAACCTCGCTATTATTTTGAAATGAGTTTTTAATTTTTTTTACTTTTCCAGTTGTTCCAGTTTACTTTTCCAATTTTTACAATTTCATGTTTTTACTTTTCCAGCTGTTATATATAACAGGGAGAAAGTATGGCAATCGGTCAAAAAAATGACTCCCAAGATTTTTACATTTTTGGACTTGGGATCTTGAAATGTCAAGAAATTCAAAAAAATTTGGGTTTTTTTTTTATATGTTTGGATGTTAGTGTGTGTGTTTGTGGGGCATGGTTTTGTTCACCCTATTTGAAACTTAATAACTCCTGTGTTTTTTGTTGAAAATTTCTGAAATTTTGCAGGGAGGTTGTGTATTAGGGGTATTGATTCTATTAAATTTTGGTGGTTAAAGATTGAGGGAGTGGGGAAATAAAGGGGATTGTGTGTTGTATCTTGAGTAGGTTCAGACTTAATGACTATTTTACTTGTTATTATCATTTACAATATTTTATAAAACCCATCTCTACTCTCAAAATTAAGTTTTTATGCCATTTCATAATAGTTAAAAATATAAAATATCCTAACAGATAGTGCCATGAAATGTTGCCGGGAAAGTTAAGCAACTTGTTGCTGGATTTTGTATCTTAAGTTGACATAGAAATCACCTATTTTAAATTGAAATTGTTTACAGTATTAAA